ACAGACAGACAGACAGACAGACAGACAGACAGACAGACAGACAGACATACATACATACATACATACACACATACACGCAATACGACGTGTATACATGTGTGTGTTTATATCATACATGCTCCTGACAGTGTAGGTGTCAGGCCCCCATGTATCCTCAAGTCGAATTGCCAAATCGAGTGCGCGCTCTCTTCGGATGGTCGGCGCGAAGGTTCTTGGACTCGGATGGTGCATATTTCGTCGACTACTCTCCCGACGTCTTCATGCCGCTGATCAATTGGCTGCGCGAAGTCAGAGACTCCAACCCAGATGCCACGGTGCCAGTGACGGTGAAGGATGAGTACAGGATGGCATGGGTGAAAATGATGAGAGCCTTGTCTTTTGATCTCAGGATCCTGAAAGCTGCAGGCATCAAATTGGCTGATTTGTGTAGAGCTGGCTTCTCTGAAGAGGAGTGTAGAGCTGCGCATTTCCCAGGGGACTACTCCATTTGGAGAGACGAAAAAGATGACGCGATCATGCCTCCAAGAACAAGAACGACTCGGCCGCCGCAGGCTTTTTTTATGTGACATGACCGAGGACACCGACCTTGGCCGCCGTGTGTGGAGAGGAAACTGCGGAGTGGCAAGCTGCTCGTTATGCCATGGACTAGGTGGGTTAAGCCTCAGACCAGAGCGGCGAGATGACATGGGCCCATGGGCAGGACGGATGGGGCCTCAAGAGCCCGAACCTGCTCGAACGTAGCGCGAGAGAGTGCAGCTGTGAGAGGGCCGTGCTCCTCCCGTCTCTTTTTTTGGCCTTTGGCCCATTCCTGATCAACCTATATGGATTTGGGCTGCATCCCGAGGTCCGGAACGAACAGGTCCGGACGCCATTGAGACGACACAGCCAGGTCCTGACCGCGGTCGCGCTGGTGGCGCTCCAGTGTCACCAGCCCGATCCTGGGACGTGGGGCTGAAAGGACGTGGATCCGCCCACACGGCTCCGAAAAGTGGAGAAAACGGCTCAGACAGTCAGACAGGCCGATGAACTTTCACTACACTCGTTACTGGGAAACGATTTGGAAGCTTCACAGGCTGAACAGTCCTCAGGTGCTTCCCACCATGGCACCACTTAATGTAGACTCTTCATCTCAGACATTGAAACACCTCTTCAGAAGCAGGGGACCGAATGAACAAGAAGTCTACAAGATGTGACGGATGAACGTGAACAAACATGTGAAAAGTCATGAACATCATCCCATTTTTGGTGGGGGACTTGACACATTGACACGCTGATGCTAGTTCTGACCTGCTCAGTACTCGCCTGCTGCAGCCCACCACCTCCGCGCCAGGCCTCGCGAGGGCCATGCCCCGCGCGGCCGCCTCCTTCCACGAGCCCCCGCGCCGCCGCGACGCCGGCGCCCGCCCGGTCGCCACGGAGCAAGGGCCGCGGGCGGCGCCCGGAGCGCCCGGCGTCCCGGTGCCCTGCGCTGCGTGGGCCCAAAGCCACTCGGATGGATGGAACTGGATAGGATTTTCATGCCAGGACCCTGTCGGGGTGCCCTGTTTGGAAGCCGGTAGTGTGGGGTAGTTCATTGACCGTTGTCAGTTCATACGCTTTCTCCAGCTTTTGATCGACCGCATGCTCGGACACCCCCGTTGGTGTATGCTTGCCCCAGTAAGCCAGCAACAGTCAAGTCAACAGTCAGTAGAATTTTGGGGACAGGCCTTTACTAACTATATCACATACTATCATCATCCATGGTTGGTGATGGGATATTGCCCAATCGGCTGGTTTTGTTGCGGAACTTGCTGCTAGGACCGGCAACCAGAGAAAGGATGAACAAAGTTTAGGCTTTCTGGGGGGAAGGGGAAGCGGGAAACTGGGTCATGATATTCAGGCCATCCTCACCTGGAGCGCTTGCACGTGGGGAGGCCCCTGCATAAGATGGATGGTGTAGCTGACGCTTGGACCTTGGACAAATGGGTCGCTGGATGTTTCAAGAGCACTTTCTGCATCTTTCTATCTCGAGCATGCTGACGTTTTGGGCGAACTTGGACAGACTTGGTGGGACTGGGGACTGTGTTGGAAGCCCCTCTCGAAAATTCGCTGATACATCTGCGTGCACAAACGCACGCATCCTTGCAACTTCTTGGCCACTCACCTAGTTCATCTTGCATCATTCTCCAGTGATTCCTTTGGGGTGTCTTTTTTTGTGTTTCGGCAGCCTCATGACCAGACGTGCGGTGAGGATACCATATTTCATCCTATTTCCTGCTCCGTGTGTGGCACATTTACCTACGGGGTGGTTCAGGGCATCCAAGAGAGGTTAGGTGACCTGAAAAAGGGATGGAGTGTTTAGTCAGATACGCTTTCTCGACATTTTTTATGTACACCATTACACCCACCTGTCTGCAGACACATGTGTTAGGAGTTTGTGCACCTACAATCCAAACCCTTCAGAGGCACAAATCCCATACTCATCGGAGGCTAGTATAGGTGGCGCAAACATCGTGGGAACCAAGCCTCGGGACTGAGTTCGATGCTTTTTTCAGACCTGATGGTCGAACCTACGTTTTGTGAACTTCCGTCATCTAAGGGCAGCGACCCGACAGCCTTCCAAGAACATGTGTAAACATTGTTGACCTGGTTTAATGGCCCAATGGTCAGTCTCAAGCCCTTGGCAAAGCAGTTATGTTTGGGATTCCCTCAAATTCATGGTGGGCCAGGAATCCTAGGAGTGACCTTCTTGACCTCCCACCCTTTCAGAAAGCAGCACATCTTGGTCCTATCGACCAAGGAGGAAGTGGTCGCCTCCACGAACTCGACGCCCAGTATGAGACCGCGGAACGTGAATCTCATCTCTGACTCCCGTGTGCTGCAGGCCGGTGTCGGCTAGCGGGTGGGTGTCGGCTAGCGGCTAGGAGAACGACGGGGGCGGGCAGAAGACCAGGCTTGAAAGAGAGGTCATCAACACAGACCAACAGATGATTTGTTTTTTCCTGCAATGTAGACACGCAGACTCTTGATCAATAAAGCCTCCCCTTCCAGAATGGTTTACCTCTCTATAAGGGTTTTATTCATCAACTGTCTAACTTGCTTGTGGTTCGAGGTGTTAGTTAGTTATAAAGGGGTATAGGCTGGGCTCTGGCCGCATGAGCAGGGCATGAGTCTTTTTGGGGTTCTGCCTCACCTCACTCTCCCGATCCTGGCGCGTCCTTCGTCGCACGTCCTGGCGTGTCCTTCGCGTCCTTCGAACTGCGTCCGCTGGCCTACCCGGGGCGGCTCGGCTCGGCGGGCGCAGGTGCCGAACAAAGATCTGGAACGAGAGTGCCTCGAAGAAGTGGATGGAGACGGGTGGATCGACGAACGGCCCTCCAAACGTAGGCAGCAAATGACATGAGAGGATAGAGGTCGCTAGCAGCCGGAGATGAGTTCACCTGGATAGAAATGCATGAGGCAATGTGGCATGCTGAATCCGTGAATCTGGGACGATCCAGAGTTCGAAAGACTTCGAAGCACGTCTTCTTATCGCAACGTTTGTTGCTTTCTTCAGGGAGGGGAAGAGATTTTCTTAGGCGTGAGAAACCCAAGGACATATTATATATATAACTATATATACTTTATATTATAGGTGCAACAACCTTTATGCCTGAAATTGTGCACTTGTGAGAAGTTGTACCACCGAGTGGACTGCTTTACCTGCGCGTCATGAGGGATAAACATGTGCAAAGAAATCAACTTTTGTTTTAGTGAACGCCAACCATTTGCACACATTGTGGCATACATTTAAGCATACCTCTATGCAGAGAAAACAGTGTGCGTGCATTGAAAAGTTGCCTATCAACTGCGGCCACTCAGGTCAGTATCAGGTCAGTAGGTCATATTATGTCAGACACTCAAACTTGGACTAGGCAGCTTATCGCCAATAAAAGGAACAACACCTGGTTTTGGTGCGAAACATTGTTTGAAGGTGTGGCGATTCAGAGAATGCAGCACGCTCTGACAAGGTGCAAGTTCCGACCAGGTTCCAGGTTACAATGCTGGCCCTTTGGTTTTCTTCGGGCCAAGTTGGAGGTGGCCACCCCATGTACCCGGGCTCCCCCATGTACCCAAGTTTTCAACATCCGAAGACCGGTAAAGACTCATCACGAAAGCTAGCCTTAGCTAGCTGGAGTTGCTCTTGCTTTAGCAAGTTAAGTGACGGGGTGGACGCACCTCAGAAACCTCAAATAATTGATTAAATCAATCTTATGGACCCCCCCCCCGCGGTTCGACTCCCCCCTGCGCGCGGTGAGCGGGACCACCAAGCAGCTGCAGCACACCAAGCATCTGCAGCGCCCAGCGCAGCAGCGGCAGCAGCAGCAGCAGCACCAGCAGCAGCAGCAGACCACCCAGCGGCGGCAGCAGCAGCAGCAGCAGCATACCCAACGCCGCGGCAGCAGCAGCCGCAGCAGACCACCCAGCGCCAGCAGCAGCAGCAGCAGCAGCAGACGACCCGGCGCCTGCAGAGCACCCAGCGCAGCAGCGCCCAGCGCAGCAGCGGCAGCAGCAGCACCAGCAGCAGCAGCAGCACCAGCAGCAGACCACCGGAAGCCCGGCTAGCTTTCGTTCACCCCCTCTGGCCTCAAGTTCTATTATGTGACTAATTAGGTCAGTCACATGTGCATGCTTGTTCAAGTCTCTACTGAGAATCGCTTGGTCGGATTCATCTTCGCCGCTCGCCATCCATCGGCTTTGGGCATACCTGCTGCAGGGTCCATGGGGCATGCATACCTGGATATTCGAAGGAAGGCGGACACGTTGCATAGTTGATCATAGTTGGAAGACCCAGATCTTTCTCGGTGTTAGGATCCACTCTGTTTCAACACTTTTTGACTCTCACTCTCCCTCTCTATCTGCCAGGATCATCCTGTCTGGGTGTCCTGGCTGGAAATCCAATAGTGTCGTCCAGCCAGGAATTTCCAGACACGATGGTGCTGGTAGATGTCCAGAACACCTGTCACGCCCTGGTGGTTGACAGAGCTACCGCATCTGGTGATAGAGCCCAAAAGGGCGAACAGAGCGCATCACCGGACCGGTGGGGTCTTTGCCACGCATCACCTGCTCCGTCCTAGGCGACCGGTCCAGGCAGGGAACCGGTGGAGGGACACCGTCGATCGGAGCGGTGGCCGGTCATGGCGCTGCTTTTTGCGCGGCTATACTATAGAACTCGAAGCCGATTCCCAACGATCTATCCAAATGGTGCTGCAGTGGATGTGCCTTCCCTCCCACTGCAGCGACTTGGGTCGCGACTTGGAACTCTTTGGCCCACGGACGAAGGTGTCCAGGTGTTGTGAGGCTCAGGTCGAACCCGGAAACGTCCGAGCGACCAATCGACCAACGACGTGGGGGTCGTTGGAGGCGGTCGGAGCGGTGGGTTTTTTCAACACCTGGGCGGTCTTGGTGGCGAGATTCTGGGGGGAGAAGGATTTGCCCAAGCCAAAGTGTCTTGATGTGCCAGCAGTGGGGCAGCTGGCGTGTCCTGTGGTGAAAGCGTCTTGATGGGGGTGCCCTGGGAAGTTCTGTTCGTTTCCCAGCCTTCACC